TTAAACAAATAGCATGAAGGAATGGTGCATCCGATCATATTTTAAGAAAAAGCCCCTTTCAAACTTCTCTTCCCTTTAATAAATACATTGGCTTCTACAAGTTTTGCTTCTTAAAAACCCTGAAGTTTCCCAGCCCCCAATCTGAAGAGCCTATTTGAGAAAAACAAAATTAGCATTAAATTACTCTAATATTGTCCTGCACATTTTTTTTTTCTAGGTCAAGAAAATATTGTTGCTTCTTTCATATAAATGAAGGTAAGGAGGAGGGAAGGAAGGAAGATAATAGGTAATGGGGATCATAATAGTTCTTTTTTGATTAAAAAGTGAAAAATAAAGTTAAGGAGACTCGGTAGTGTATGGAGCTACTGACAAGGAATTACATCAGTAAAATGGGCCTGTGAAGGTCACACCCTCACAGGCAGAGTAGAATCAGGTCTCTGAGCCTTTCGTTCCTCTGCATTCCAGATAAAATGCAACTGTAGGAAGAGGGGTTGAGGGAGAGATGCTCCCATCACCCTGTACTGGGTGAATTTGGTTGAACTAACTGTACAGCCTACTGAAACTCAGGGAAGATGGTAGTTCAGTGCTCTGCCCTTGGGTAAGTTACTTAACTTCTTTAAGCCTGTTTTCTCATCTTGTAAATCTGGGCATTAGAGAACCTACCTCGCATAGGTTAAATAATATAAAAGAAATAAAATGTGTCACTAGCACATAGTAAGTGCTCCACAAGCATTTGGAAGAAAAATTTTAAACATTCTCTCAATGAAGCAGTCATGGAGAGGTTGGTGGTGGCCCCTGAGGGTTTGGGGGACACTTTGGCCAGCTGTCCCACACGCTTCTCTAAGCCAGGCAGCTCAATTCTTAGCTGCGGTGCGGCCTGAGGGCCCAGGGCTTGTCACTTGGCTTGCTGAAGCAAGTTCTTTCACACACACCCCCATACACACTTTGGCCCGAAAATTCAGCGAGGTTTTTTCTTCCTTCTTCCTTTGTTGTTGTTAGGTTCTGATTACTTCCATCTGGCTGCCGCAGCTCGAGTGGAGTCTCTAAAAACAAAACAAAATAAAACCCTCCCTAAAACACACACATGCATTAACGCTAGAAGGCTGCTTTGCTTCTCGTCAACCTGCGCTCAGATGGCGACACGCGCGAGCCGCGGCCGGGGGTGCCGGCAGGACCCCCGGCACCTGCGAGCGCTGCTGGCTGGAGAAGGTCCACACAGAGCCGGGGTCCTCCTCCTTCCCCCTGTCCCTCGGCTTCCGCCCTGGCGCCCCGAGAAGCGGGCGCATTGAGAGCAGCGACCCGGGCATCTCCCGGTGGAGGGGAAGAGGGAGGTGGAGAGGGAGGGTGATTTCAGAGATTGAAAACAGAGCAGTTCCTGCGCCTCAGCTCCGGTGCTCATCTGACTTGAGTGAGCGACCGCCTCCCCACCCCCACCCCCACCCCGCGCCTAAAAAAAGTGTTGGAGATTGGCGCATTCTTTCGCTCTCTGCTTGAACTTTCTTCGTAGGTGTGCTTTCTCTCCTCGGGGCTGAGGAGGAGCGTCCTCGGCCTCCTCCTCGCCTCCGGGTCCCCGGGTCTCCCGGGTTCCCTGGGGCGGGTTAGCGCGGCGCGGGCGGGTGCGCAGTGCTGGGTGTGCTGCAGCTGTGCGCGCGGGGGCGCTGCGCCGTCCGGGCGGCGCCGGGATTGCGGGAGTGCCGGAGCTCGCCAGCCGAGGCAGTACGGCTCCGCGGACTTTTTTTCAAACTCCCATCAATGAGACTTCGAGGAGGAGTGGGAGGCGGCGGCGGACGCGGAGGCAGGCTAGGAGGAGCCGGAGGAGCTGGAGGAAGGAGCGCGAGTCGCGCGGCGCGCCGGAGCCTCGGAGAGCTGCCCACCCGCCGGCAGTAGGGGCGGTCCAGCCCCCTCTCGCCTTTCGGTTCCCTCCCCTGCCTGGCCCGCCCCGCCCCGGCCGGACCGAGACCCTGCACACGGCAGCACGCGGCGCGTCGCCAAGTTGGGATGGGGGTTCGCAGCCACCGCCCAGCGCCCGAGAGGCCACCTGCGTGCTAGAGGCAAACTTTTGTCTCCCTCGGTAAAGTTGCATTGGGTTCTTTTGCTTGCTTTTCGTTGAGAAGTGCCTCCTACCTTGGCCGATCCCGAGCCGGCTCTGACGCTGTGCGGTCCTGTAGGGTCCCTCGGCTGGGTATTCGCGCCACGGCGCGGGGATGGGGGCACCAAACAGAGGGAACCTGGGTACTAGTGGGACGGCCCCACTTAGGGTTTTGGCTAAGGCGGGCGGCGAAATAAGCGGGGAGTCCCGGGACTAGGAACTCGTGGTCTGGGAGCGATTTTGCATCTCCCTTCCTACCTGGGGGAAAGAGCCTCTCTTCTACCGGTGCACAGCCGGGCCAGCCCCCGCCTGGTCTCCACCACGCCCGAACCGGGAGCTGTTCTTAAGGGAGGTGGGGGTTAGCACCGGAGGCTGGGATGCTGTGAGGCTCCGGGAGGTCGGCAGTCGGAGTGTGTCTTAGGGGAGTGTGCTGTGTGTGGAGGGGCTGCAGCCAGCCACTTGTAAACTTCTAACTGCACTTCTCCGCACGACGCGTCCGGGAGCCTGCCTTTCTTTCTTCCTCGCTCCTTCCTCCCCCTCATCAGGCCCTGTCGCCTCTTCCCCCTCGGTCAGGCTCTCCTCTTCGACCCCCCTCCTCGCTTCCCTCCTCCACCTCCTCCTCCCTCCCCACCCCTGTCCTCCGCCCCGAAATCCGCTTGACTTCCCGAAGGGATCCGCACATAATCCCTCGCGTGGTCCTTGTGCCCCCCCCCACTTTTATCCCCACCCCCACTCATCATTTCTCCCCGCAACCCCCCCGCTCCAGTCAATCTCTCAACAAGTATATTTGCTGAGGAATTTGAAAAATCCACTACTGCAACTTGATCTGTGTGTGATGGATGGGGAGAGGCGCGGAGATAGTTGGGCGCCAATCCTATTAAGGGTTTAGGGAAGGGAGCGTTTTCCCCGGACGGGGGCGGAGGGGGGACGGGTATTCGGGGTAGGGAGGGGAGAAGGAAGGAGCGCGTGCTTGTGTGTGAGTGAGAGTGCGCCCA